GTTCATTATAGGAGCAAAAACCCTAAGACATTTTTAAAAATATCTTTTTTTTTTGTGTGGGTTCAGCAGGTTTGGACTGACATGAGTAATTGATGAAATGTTCACTTTTGGGTAAACTACTCTCTCTCTCTCTCAACATATTGTCATGTGTCATTAGTCAGACTAGACTTTAAACTGTTAGTGAGCTGCAGTGTGCCAACAAATGCTAGCATCTAATACCCTGAATATTCACTGTATTTGTTTCTCACCTTATATTGAAATGACCACGTCTGTACTTCCCTCAAAATACAGCCTCATCCGGGAGTGTTAATATTTTCTACATTCTCAAGCTGATTGATTAAAATACATGAATTTACAATAATGCAAGCAAATTGTTTTAAACTGGAAGGTCATGACCCCAAAATTGATTCGGATATCTGGCACAGCAGGGGAAAATTATGCTAAATGCAAAACATAACATGCAACAAGCCGCATAATAGTGCAGTGTTCAGATTTAAGCACATATAAACACAATAACAGTAAATATGTTTATCAACGTTTAAAAGGGAGGTGAAAATTATTCCCATATCATTAATATTGTTGAAATGTTGTGCATTAACTGTAAACCTAAAAAAAAAGACATAGGCGATATTAAATATAGTTTCACTTGCGACAAGGATGTAGATTGTACTGACCACAAGTTTTTAAATTATCAAATGTTGTATGATGCATTTAATTATAATAATAACAACAATTATATTTCTTATTTCTTATTCTTGTTGTTGTTGTTTTACACCAAAAGTTAACTTTAAAAGATGTCTTCATCTGCTTTTTAAAAATGTGAATGCTGCAAACTTGTATAATTTCAGTTTGTAAAAGGTTAATGGTTAATGGTTAAAAAACAGCTCAACCTGACCTTATAAGGTTAAAGTATGCCAAAAATAGAGGATACAATTCACTTGGTCCAAACCTGTATGAGTTTCTTTCAACTGTTGAACACAAAAGATATTTTGAAGAATGTTGGTTACCAAACATCTGGTGGTAGCCATTGACTTCCACAGTATGAAAAACAAAAAAACAACAACATGGAAGACAATGGCTACCGTCAATTATTTGGTTATCATCATTCTTCAAAATTTCTTCTTTTGCCTTGAGCAGATGAAAGAAATTCACACAGGTTTGGAATGACAGGAGGGTGCGAGTAAATCATAGAATTTTCATTGTTGGGCAAACTACATATTTATGTATGTAGCAGATGCTTTATCAAAGCCTATTTCAAAATAAGAATAACAAGCAGCAGACGTGTATGCAATTTATTTTATTTTTTTGTACAAACAGTCAAATTGTGCAAAAAACCTGGTTAGTTAGACAAGTGTTCCCAGAAGAGGTGTGAGAAATGAAGAACAGTATAGAAAAGATAAACATGGTACTGTATGTTGGGGCGCCACTCAATGTCCACTTTAAAATGTGGTTCCTGAAGCAAAACCAATGAAAGAGAGATCTCGAAAAGATCAGGGAACACATATTTTAAAGCATTCGTATATGCTCTGAAGTTTGTGACTCAGGTGCTCTTCTGTACTTGGTTAAGCAAAGTGATGGGGCCTGGCAGGGCTGATCGGAGCAGAAGACAGCCATATCATTAGGGGGAGTTCAGAGCCTCCTTTGCCTCTGGGGAGGAGATGACAGCTCATCACAGCCTTGGGGTTACCTTTCTTTAAAAATATGTTAATCAAAAGGCACTAGGGAGAATTTTAATAAAATCAGATCAAATGCATTTATTTTTTTTTTAAATAATAATTGTCTTCCATGATTTAAAATAAATACTCTGTACCATCTTATATCTGACTAATCATCCTGGTCCTACAGCGAGATGGCCATGTGATGGAAATAATTGGCTACACACTGTCCAGAAAGATTCACAGCTTTCATAGGACTACACCTGCATGTCAACAGAGTAAAAGCAAGAGATTAAATCTTTATATATTACTCTTTATAGTTATTATTTATAAAGGATGGACTTTCGAAAATAGAGTTTTAGTTTTTTTTTTGTTTTTTTGGCAAGTACAATGAAAATCTTATGAAACACTTTGCCAGGGATCAGTTACAGTAGTGTATCATTGATACAGAGCTGTCAAAAAAAAATAAAAAAAAATCATAATAATATAAAATAAAATAAAATGCACATTTTAAATAATGCCCTGCAAATATTTGTAGACAAAAATAAATGAATGAATGAATAAATAAAATTACTCATATTAAATAATTAATAGCCTGCAAATAGCAAATATTGCAGTCATAAAATCGAATATGAAATATAAATAAACTAATAATACAATTATAAATAATCATTTAAATAAAATAATACCTTGCAAATATTGAGAACAAAGCATGATTCAGCAATGTGTTCCTCAATAAAAGTTGTTTTGGGTTAAAGTTGCTTGCAAAATGACCCCAACCCGTCTTTCTCTTTCTTGCTGTCAGTCTTATGAAATACTTTGCCCTCAGCTGCAGAAATACACCACTGATATTAGGTTGTTACAGAAAAATAAAATACATTTAAATAATAATAATAATAAAATAGACAAATTAAATAAATAATACCCTGCAAATATTGTAGACAAAGCATAATTCTGCAATGTGTTCCCCAATAAATGTTGCTTAGGGACCTATCTCACAAAACAACCCCAACCCATGTCTTTCTCTTTGTTGTTGTCATGAAACACTTAGTCAGGGCTCAGTTGCAGGAATGCTTAGTCGCTCATTAATTCTACTTTCTCTCTGTTATTGTATACTCTATCATTTTTTATAGTAGGGTGCAGTATGCATAGAGAGCCGCCTTAAACTCGGTCGCTTTGTTATGCGTTGAAACTATCGTGCAATGAAAGCACATTAGTACATCTTAAAGGCAGTGTCTGTGAGATCCAGACAGTCTGTACACAAGACTATTCACATGGGAGTCTTTGTCAATGCTAATTGGCCCACCAACCTCTGGCAGTGAAGCAGAACAACATTTTCTACACACAACACTTGTTAACTAGTAAATCCAGCCCTGAAAGATCCACTTTTTGAGCTACAGCATCTAAGGATGTATTTAACCTGTGACTGTACACCAGGAGAGAATTCTGAGATCAGTGACCAAGAGCAGAACGTCTCTGAGGCTTTCAAAAAGCTAGATTTTATAGAAGAACATAATGCTACCAGAGACTCTGTTCTCTTGTATCCATGTCCATTTTATTTCCAGAAGTAATTAATGGACATGAATTTGTCTTATTTCTGTTGGAATTAAACAAATACATATGGTGGTACTATTATAAGACAAAGACAACATGAAAAGAGAACAGTTTTCTTTCTGCTTCTGTCATTTTCTTTTTCTTTTTCATGCCATAAAGCGTGGGTCATGATTAATGGCTTTAACACATTCAAATGCCATTTTGCTTCAGATAAATAAATGCACACTTTCCGAGCAAGAACATTTTCTTTTCTCATAGCATTTAGGAATAAACATGAAATGCTGACCTTTTAAGAGAAATTTAATGGCCATTAGCATACTGCTTACATGGATATAGTTATTTTACTGCACATAGTCACATTTAATGTGTCTTTAGATTGCATTTTTCTTCTTTTGTTGTTGTCTTGTTCTTATTAAAATGCACTTGAATTCCCTTTGTAGTCTGCAGCGCTCATTAATGGATACAATGTCTATAGTTTTCCATAATTAGAACCCATGAGGGTTTTTTTGTACTACAGTTTTAGTTTGTTTTATTCGGCATTAAAGGAGCAATTTGTTTAATTTCTCAAGAGTTTAACTCTTGCTGACAACAATGGTTGGCCAAAGACAAACTTCATTCATTTCTTCGAATGAACTGAAATATTAATGTGCAATCTTTAGTAGTAACTGTTGTCGTTTAGTCTGAGATTTATTTCCTTTACATAATTTAAATTTGCACCAGGGAGGCTGGATTAAATGGAACATTATTTGAAAATGAGTTACAGGTTCCTTCAAAGCACCACCAATAATTCTGCATTAGTCTCTGAAATATTTAATAAGGTTTTGAAATATTTATAAAGGATGGAGTGTGGAATAAAGATATCTTTTCTGCAAGAAAAATACAGTGACATTCATTCTAATGAAACACTTTGCACAATTACTTGATATTAGAATTGAAAAATAAAAATAAAATGAAATAAAATAAAATAGCTAGAATTCTAGAGCTAGACATATATCAAAATTCGTTAGGAAAAAGCACCCACATAAAGATCATTTTAAAACATTAGTTGGGAAGGTGAAAACATCAAGTAAAAATAGTTTATTGTATTCCCATTTCCATTTATTTTATCATCAGTGCTGGTTTTTTTTTAATTTTTTTTAGATATTTTCTGGCGGTAAAGTACAGTGACATTCTAATAAAATGCACTTTGCACCATTACTTGATAACAGGTCGTCAATAAAATAAAAAAATAAAAAATAAAATATAGCCTAAATAAAGATCATTTAAAGGCAATTTTAGTGTGGATGAAATCAATGAACAAAGAAAAAATGGCTTTAGAATATTTAGTCAAAATTAAGTTGTTTGTTGTATTTCCATTTCCACTTATTTCCATTCCATCTCAGAAGCCCCCCAAATAAAGATAATTTAAAGATTATTTGGGCAGGTGAAAGCATTGAACAACAACAACAACAACAAAAAGTGCCTTTAGAATATAGCAAGTACCGCATATTTGGTGTATGTTTTTTATGTTTGCTGTATTTCCATTTACTTCCATTTCATCCCGCAATTTCTTTTCTCACAATTTGCGCCATCAGTGCTGTTTTTTAAATGCAGTGTCACGTTAATACTACTTCAAGTTCAAAATTAATCTCTGCTTTGAAAGGCAATAATTCATTGGATTTTGAAGACAGTCACAAATCATGTTCTTCCAAACACAAATGACTTACTTGCTTTACATTAACAGTCCTCTCTTCCTTGGATGTATAAATAGACCTCTCGTATAAATGTCTTCCCATTACTAATAGAAAGCGAATGATACAGGCTTGCCCAACACTCAAAGGCTCTTCCACAGAGAGAATCTCTCCTCTGCCAGGCCCATTCCCATATAAGAGACTTGGCAGATCCAGCTCCAGGGAGCTCCTCTCTTTCTCTGCCAACATGCATGCCTGCTCCCTGGGTCCCATCCATGGCAACCTCATCCCTGCTCTCCTCCATCCTCCATCTGTGGCCATCACTGCAGTCTCAGACCTGCAGTTAGTGCAAAGCCGTCTTTACTCTCATTTCTGCTCACCGCAGTAATGTGCTGAAGGCTGAGACCTGTAATGAGCCCCCGTCCTACCGCCATCAAACCGTACAACACTCTGAACACAGACACAGGAAGACAATAAAGCACAAATGATACGAACAGATGGTCTTTCTTATTGTGCCCTGAAATGCAAACACTGAATATCTTTACAGGTTGGGTTCATCATTCGGCCTTCCCCAGTTACAATCCACTATCGGCAAACACCTGGCGCAGGAAATTTAACAGTGACAAACAAGAGCAAAAGACTGAAGGTTATTGAATATACTTCTGTTCCCATTTACCACAATAATTTTGTGTATAGGCAAATTCTGATTAAGTAACTTATCTCAAAGTGTTTGTGCATGTTTATGATATTATGCATCTAAAGGGATAGTCCATCCAAAAATGAAAATGCTGTCATCATTTACTCACCCTCATGTCATTCCAAACCTTGGTGCGTTTAAGCATTGTTAGCCATGGTTGCAAGCTCCATTGTTACCAACATCTCAACAATTTCGTGTTTCTCAAAAACAGTTCAAATGAACATTCGCAGTACATGGAAGTAACACCAGCTCTCATAGTTTCTTGCTAGTATGATATATGGACTTAAATAGATCATGCTCTTGGGCACAATAAGTAAGCTAACATGCTGTACATTCTATATCAGAGAAATTACATTGTAGAGAAAGCTGAACTAACCACCAGGACAGTCCCCCGAAAACTACATTTTCCCATAGGGCCATTGTCCTAGTTGCATTTGCACCACCAGAAGGAACTCTGAAGGAACTCTTGACTTCATTTAAGCACAGCATTCAACAACGTCAATAACTGGAGGATGAAGAAGTGCCTGGTGGTCCATCTATCACAGTTTTCCATGACCGTGGAGTTAGTTTGTGTAGTAAACAGTGTTGGGCTAGTTACTCAAAGAATGTAATATATTACTCATTACTAGTTACTCATTTCAAAAGTAATATTGTTACTTTACTTATTACTTTCTGGCAACAGTAATTAGTTACACTACTAGTTACATTACTTTTTCTTCACGCCCCACAGAAGTTGTAACTGTGAATCTTCCACATACAATTCTAGTGATTGATAGTGACATTCAAGTAGAAGTGTTGTATTAATCTCATTAATTGTCATGTGTAGCTTGAAGCTAATTGTAATTTCTCCGTTATCCATATACGATTATATTTCACTATGTATTTTATCAAATCACAGAAGTTTGTAAGAAATTTTAATCTTCCAAAAATATTTTTAATTATATTAATACATGCTGATCAGAGGTATGTTGGTGGGATGTAATGCCAGAGTAAAGTAAAGCCACAATTTACACAACAGTGCTCAGATCATCTTTTTTCCTGACAAAATCAATATAATGCAATATTTCTATCTGCTGAATGTAAGCTTTTCCATATTCCAAGCTTGCCTGCTGCACTGGGGACATCACATGCATGTTCGAGTCGTGAAAATTATGAAAATAAATCTAGGAATTATTTGATTGTTGGATTTTAAATCAGCGGGGTTGAGGCATCAAAAGTAACTAAGCTGTTTTATGGATGGTAACTGTAATATTATTACTGAAATCTTATTAGTAATGAGTTACAATACTAGTTACTGCAAAAAGTTATATTATTACAGTAACTAAGTTACTAGTTACTGCCCAACACTGGTAGCAAATATATGTAAAAAGTCATGGCCTAATGGTTAGAGAGTCGGACTTGTAACCCAAAGGTCATGGGTTCGAGTCTCGGTACCAGCAGGGATTGTAGGTGGGGGGGGTGAATGACCAGTGCACTGAACCCCCAACTGTTCCCTGGGTGCTGCAGCAAAAATGGCTGCTCACTACTGTGTGTGTGCGCGCGCGTGCACTTGGATGGGTTAAATGCAGATCACACATACCCAAGTATGGGACACCATATTTGGCCACATGTCCTTTCCTTTCCTTTTTTTAAACTGTTTAGCCGTTTTTTTTTTTTTTTTATGGTGGTTGCTTGTGTTTTGTATGGTATGTGTTCGGCCTATCAACGTACACTTACGTCACAAGTAGTTCCTACTGTGCTGGGTTAGACCCTACTCTAATTTAGTGCGACCATGTTACTATAGTTTTGGGAAACAGTCATGACCAGTTGGTTATTTTCTCCAACAAGTTACACCCATTGTGTGGGAAACACACTCCGGTATGACTTTCTTCTGTGCAACACAAAATATATTTTATTAGACAAAAGATATATTGATAACCAAAAAAAAAAAAAAAAAGCTTCCCATTGACGTTTATTTTATGGACAAAAAAAAAAGGTAAAATAAAATAGAACAATTATACAAATGTAGTGTTATTTATGGCCAATTGTCATTTATGTTTCTAAGAAATCTATTGCTCGTTAAGGAAATCCAAAAAAGCATTTTTTTTCTTCTGAGACACAGTGTCCCACTGCGCAGGAAACCTTAGAAACTCTAAATCGATCCAAACTGCATTATTTGTCAGGGGTCCTTGCTCCTAGTTTCTTTTTAGTTGCCTACCGCATTCTGCTAGAACACCTCCTACCCGGCATCTATAGCGGGTTCATTGCTCTACTTTCGGATAATTCTGTGGTATTAACTGGCTAGAGTTATTACCCTTTATATGAGATGTCTGTGTTGAGAGCAGTTTATGAGATTCTGGTCCCGGTGGAAAGGAAGATGGAGTTGAGGCAGGCTGTCATCCAGAGCGGTATAATAGCATCAGTTGGGAAATACACAATGCCATGGATTATTGATAGAGCTGTATCTGTTCTTCTGCTGACAAATCTGAGAGCTCCACAGAAGGGGCACGTAATCTTGAAAAATATCTCTGCTAATCTGCTCATTCCACGCATTCTCTTCCGAGTTTCTCTCTCTCCCTTTTTCTTCATCTCATACTCTTTTTTTATTATGATAAACGATCAGCGATTTAATGACAATAGCGATGGTGTGTTAAACAAAAAAAAAAAAAAGGAGAAAAACGATGAGGCTGTCTTGCCTGCTCTTTTGCAAGTGCAATGCATTTTGGAGGGATTTTACCCATTTTTAAATAAAATGCTGCAGCGTTTTTCATGCCTCAAACATCTAAACGTAAATCAAAGTCAACTGTCAGATCCATTAGGGGTCTGAGAGACACCAAGAGCTAAAAGAGCTAAAAAAACAATTTGATGTAGCTTCACCACATATATATGTGTGTGTGTATATATATATATATATATTTTATTTTTTTTTTTTTTTTTTTTTGG